TCTCTTTGTAGAAAAGATGGTTGTGGAAAATTAGGAAATACCTTTCAAGCTACCCATTGATCAAAAATTCAGAATGCGGCAGTTGTGAGATCAAATTAAAAAGACGTTTGATTCATATCAGAATCTAAATGTCTGTATCCTGTTTTCTTTTATGAGGAATACGAAAGGTCAGACCCAAGAAGCTGGAAGACTTAACAGGCATTTGTATTCAAATGATCTCTTTTAAAAGGTCGCTTGAATGACAGAGTTACCATAGATGCAACAGACTATTTAAAAGGCTCAGGATACAACTAAGTGCCTCACAACAGGTCTTCTATTTATAAAGTTGGAAACTATTTTTTTTAAAACATAGAAATAAAAACAACAAGTTGGAGGCAGGCTAAAAGGCAGCTAAACATTGTCAAAGGCTGATAACATATCCGGAGCACAAAACTTCTTATCAGTAAGAAAAAGCTTAATGATTTTAAAAACCAGCACCATTTGAAGACAATCTGCGACAAGCCCAGTGTAACTCTAAGCCCTTTGGTGAATGGCCACTTGTGATGAACTCCATTTTAACAGCACCATAATTCAAGTAGATGTCTTCTCTGGTTTTGACCAGTTCTAACCAAAATGCCATATACTGGAAAGTCTTTGGTAAAACACTGCAGCAGTGATTGGAAGTGACTTAAAGTCACTTAAAACTATTAACTCTTCAGGGTTTAATTCCTCTATAGAGTTGCAGCCATTCAAAATGGCCCTTCCCAGTCAAATGCCAGCAGATTGGCAGCCTACTCCCATAGCCGTGACTCCCGGCAGAATTTCCTTGAACTTCCAGCCTCTGGCCTTTTCCTGGGTGTGCATTTTTTTTTCACTCTGACTTCAGCCATTCACTGAATTACAGGGTATGACCAGGAGATGACATCTTAATGTCCACACATCAGGACAGAAAGAATATTTTAGTACAAATATTGGTGTTTCAAAAGCAATTGTAAAGGACCAAATCAAGGAAAGTGGGGACATTTTGATTGGCTACTAGTGTATTGCTGTAGGTTGTTTAAACTTATTCTGAGGACATTATCTTTCTCATCCTTTAAACCTTAGTCTGCCCGTGGCTTGTTTGTTACACCTACTGAACAGCACCAACTGAAAGGCCATACACATGGTCATAAAAAGTCACTAAACTCTACTCCTAATATGGTATTTACAAGGAAGGGAAGTCTGGATAAAAAAGTACTGCTAAGGAATTTGCTTTTGTCAGAGCTGAATTTGGCTTAGCCACTGATGAAAAGAAAAAACTGATTTTTAGCCTGTTGTTTCCTATTTATCTGTGACCAGGCTATAAGGGCAGTGTTATAGGCATTGACTCCAGCACTTCCCCCCAGATACCTCCTCCAGCTTGCCAAGGAACAGCCAGGGATGTTGTCGCTCCACTCTGTCCTGGGCCGTCCACTGGGCCTCCTATAGGTGGAATGTGACTGGAAAACCTCCTGCCTTTCAATATGGAGGCAAAACAGCTCTACTTTGATTTTCTTCCAGGATGATCGAGCTCCTCAGCCTAAAGGACAAGTTCTACTCCCTGCAGCAGTGTGTCGCAGTGAGCTTGACGCTGACATTTTTTTTTATGCTCAAGTTTGAAGTGTGGTCTCCACTATGTTATATTCCACGCCACAACCAAGAGGTACAATCACGAACTAGCTGTGGGTCTAGATACGGCGGTGAGGAAGTGGGAGCAAGTTCGTCCGACAACAGAGGGACATGAGGTCGAAAAAGAACGGGGATCCAGGTGGAAAAAGGGTCCCAGCATTCTCGTGCACCTTGCTCTTCTAGCTGGTCCAACTTCACAAGTTGTTTTCCGCAATTACAGTCATACAAACAAAACAAGCCGGCAAGCGGATGTAGAATTGGCCAATCAGATGCCTCCGGTCTGCAGCCCAGCCTGCGGTAACCTACATTTTGAGAGAGGTTCAGCAGTGTCTGCAGAGAGGGCGGGGACGTTTTTCCATTCACTGCAACACCTATTCAGATGACCAAGTTTCAAAGTATAAATCAGCCTTAACTTCTATATTTAAGGGAGTGTACAGCCATGCTGCGGAAATTGAACATATTGCATAAACCGTCACTTAAGAAACTGCTCCTTCCAGGATCTTTTGTTTTTCTTTTTTCCAAGAAAGGAAAATCACCTCTTAAACAGAGGTTTTGACTTGAGTCAGTCAAAATTTTTATTATTAACAAGTCATGAAAATCTGCTTCTGAAAAACATAGCACACAAAACAAATGTTTGTTGTTTGTTATGTCGTTTTCTTGATGACTTTTACCCCTGCCATGGAGTGCCATCTTGTTCAGGTTGTACAGGATCTTTTGTTTCATAAAATTTGTGCGTGGAGTCTGACTCAAGTCAAGCCAATGTCCACAGCTCTGTTAAATTTGTTTTTTAGTTTTTATGGCACTAGTGGCTTGTTTTTCTGACAGTAGGCTGACACGAAAGGGGGTATGAGAGAGGGGGATAGACATTGAGGACCAAGTCCTCCGTACATGGGTCTTGCGCACTAACCACTGCACCACCTGCATGCCCTTATTTAATTATTTCTAACATTATGTGCAGGATAAAAAAAAAACACCAAAAAGTGAATACTGCAAAAGTATTTGTTCAGTTTAAAAATGTCTGTATATCTGTTACAAAAGGTATATGTTAGTTGAAATTGTCTGCACGACTCCTGGCAGGCAGTAATTACAGTACACTGATTTCATTTATTCCCATTTTAGCCACCCACTTAGGGCCCTGCAGGGCATCACTCTATCATAATGGATTAATTATATTGGTAAAAACATCAAAGAAGAAAATAGGAAAGAAAGAAAGGACAAAAAAGAAAAGAAATGTCACAAGAGGCAGATTTGTTTTATGGTTTAATAAAGAAAAGGATAAAAGAACATCTTTACCCGACTGTTTTGTAATGTTAATTCTTTAACAAAGGGATTCCCCTCACAGTTTTGGGGATTTATATTTGAGTTTGCTATATTTAGGTTTGTATTTTCAGTTTCACTACATTCAGATTATTTCTTGCTATTCGTACATTGGAAAAGCAGAGACATGTTTGAATTATTTTATATTTTCTTAAGGTTTTCTTCCCTTTATTCCTGTTTGTATTTCAGTGCATATTTCTTTTATGTCAGTCTGTTTCTCTGTCAATCCGCCCTTCCATTCATCCTGCCGTCATCCATCCTTCTTTTTGTTTTCCATCCATCTATGCATTTTTCAACCCATCTTTGTGTTCATCCACCGAAGAAGTTACCAATCATCTGTCTGTTCATCTTTCTTTCTACTGTATCTGTCTGTCCATCCTTTTATTTGCATTTCCATCCATCCTGAAATTTGGCAAAAGATGCCCTGAGAATCAGGAATTTCGACATAAAAATATTAAGCAACCCTGTATTACATACAACTGTAACGGCTGAATAGGTATGTTTTCTGTGAGGGGTTCCCCTGTTGCTGTGCTTAATATAGCAAATAAGAGCATGACTGATTGTCTCCATGTGCCAGGCATCATTTAGCAGATAATAATGTTCCCACAATGCAGCACATATATACATGTACACACAGATTAATTCTGATTGGAGACAAACACATAGGTCATGTTCCTCTAAAGAACAGCAGGCCATTTATTAAAGGGATAACTACTAAGTAAATAATGACTCAAGGTGTTTCTATTTTGCTTAGTGCTGTATTTACTGAAGTCACATGAAATTCAGTCCCCATTCCTTCAGAATATATAGCATTTTTAGATTAGTTGTACATTGCTTCGAAGTGCGTATAGTTCTGTTCATGTGTTTAAACTTTAAAAATGGAGGAGAGAAAGTCATGTTAATCCTGTGTAGAGGCATTTTCTTTATAACATCATTATTCCTTCATCTTTTGAGTAGAATTTGTTTATAGTTTGTTCAGCTACTGCTGTCCTCACTAGTCTTTGACTACTGGTTATGTTTTTCCTGTTTTTTACTGTCTGGTTAAACGAAGAAACAAAACGTATTCATTTGCTGTTATTCAACCAGGTCACAAAACTAGAAGAAGAAAACAAATATAGGAAATCCTTTGGAATGAATAGTGTTAATAGTGTTTTTTTTACACTATTACTTCTTGTGCTTTTTTGCTCAATTTACACAATTTATTTACAAGCAGATCCTCAAAAATGCACATATGAACTGTGTTTGCATTTCAACAAGCAGTGCATCCAAACCTTTCCTTGTGTTTGTGTCATCATCAGTGTGTTCCCTAAAAAAGTAACTAGTTATAGTTAGTAGTTAGTAGTAACATTATAAAAGACCCCCCCCCCCCCCCCCCCCCCCCCCCCCCCCCCACACCATGGACTGTTCTTCCTGCTGCCCTCTGGGAAGAGGCTTCGAAGCATGCAGCTCCAGCAGATTCCAGCACAGTTTCTTCCCCACTGCCATTAGACTGCTGAATGTTGTATAAAATGGGGTTTTGCAGTGTCCATATAAACTGTAAAACTCCCGGCATAATTATAATAAAGCAATGTATATGCATGAAACAAGCGGAACACTATGGCGATAGCCGTACTGCTCCACTTGTGAAAGTAAAATCTGTTGGGCTCTTTTTGGCATCAAGACAATTATTCTTATTGCCACATTGTCAGACAGGACACTGTAAAAAATAAAAAAATAATGGGGTTTAAAAAAAAAAAAACTAAATGTTGGAAACTGTAAATCATATACCAGTCTTATGTTTAAATGTTATCGCTGCTGCTTACATTTATCACTCTGCAATTTACAAATGGAAATGTCTTGAGAGCTGTACTGAACAAAATGTCTTTTTGTGTACACTCTGTGTGTACAAAATGACAATTAAGTCTAAGTCTAGTTACAAAAAAGTATCTTAATATTATCCAAAGTAAATATGCAGTTACTTTTTATGTTTTAAAATGTCAAAGTATAAGTGTTTAGATGTTTTTTTTAACCCTGTCAATTTTCTCAGTGCTTTATTTTGTTTTACATTTGTTTTTCAGTTAAAGAACAGCCTGAGAGATGACCTGTGTTTAGACCAGGGACCCGACACTGATAACATTCCCATCATGTACCTCTGCCATGGAATGACACCACAGGTGAGTGACTTTTCAGTCCTGAGAAGTTCTATTCTGAGACACAGCTGAGCAATATTCACATGGAGATCCAAAGAGGGCCAATAACTACAGGAAGATTAGTGGAGAACTTAGAGTAACCTCTGCAGAACATTATATGGAATTGAGACTGAAGTCTCATTCATGTTGATCCAGCAGAAAGACTTCCTATGAACTGCTGCATGGCTTTCAGTGGCTGGGTTCATATTACTGTTTATTACAAATATACCAACGTTGCCAGGCTTTATTTTTGTTGTTGTTTAAATTAAGCATTTTGAAGATGGAGGAATATTAAACATTTAGCTTGATGTTCTACTTCTGGTAGCCCGTCCAAATAAGCAGGTAGACACTGTGGCAGAATTTTAAATGAAATTTCCTTTTGTATACACTCTGTGTATACAAAAAGAGAATAAGGTTGGTCTAAGTCTTAAATAAATTCACTAATTATATTTTACTTTTATTTCTGAGGAAATAATATTGTACCCTTTCATTAGTTTGATTGGTAAGAAATCCCTTCATTGTCCTAAAATTATTTTTTTCATTACCATTTAATTTGTCTTTTTTCATATATATATATATATATATATATATATATATATATATATATATATATATATATATATATATATATATATATTCTGTGCAGTACCTGACCATTTCCTGTTTTATATAAGTTTGTTTTTTAAGATGCCTAAGAAAGTGCAAGCGTAAGCAAAGTTTTCCTTTCTCTGAAAGTGAAAATAATTTCAATACATTTATGCTCCCGAAAAAGCGTGGTTTTCCTATTAGACTTTTAATAAAATTGATTTCTAATTGAAAAATATATAAGTGTACACACTGCCTTTAGGTTATTGTCATTGAACAATCTCTGAGGCAAATTCTTTAATATACGAGATGTTTGAAGGGTTTGTTGATCGTACAATCTATGTGAAGTCATGCTGGAGCATCCAAATGGGATCTGGATCGGAGTTCATCTTAGAAGCTTTGCTCAGTAAAACCTTTTATGTCTTAACTCCCAGCCAGTCCTTTGTGTATTTACTGTAATGTCTGGGTTGATTGTCATGCTACAGGTTCCAGTCCTGTCTTATATTCCTTTCCTTAAGCAGAGGCTCTCACATTTTCCTAAAGCACCTTCTATAAAACACTGAATTATTGAAAGGGCTTCTGTGATGCTGAACTGGACAGGTCCCGCTCCTGCAAAGTATTACTTCAACCTCCACGCATAGCAGTGAAAATAATTCAGCTTGGACTTATTTATCATAAAACTGTATTCTCTGATCGGTTTTTGTCATTTCTACTACTTTACTACTCTTTACTCTGTCTTAATTTGTTTTTATTATGCAGCAAATGTTTCTTCCTTGCACAACTTCAATGAAACTTAAACGTTTGCAGTTTTTCTTATGAGTTGTGTCATGATTTTTTTAACCTTTCAAAGTCAGCCACTGTCAAATATATGATTAAATAATGCTCTTAGAACTAGATGCCCAGATCCAGCACTAAAATGGAGGTATCAGTATCGGCGATTACCAACAAATAGGGCACAGATACTATTTTGAGAGCCAAAAGTTTAATCAACTATTGTCACCCATTCCAGGTAGGCAACAAAAAGTTATTCTGGATTCACTTTGAATTAGTGTTTTTCCTGCTTCACAAAGGTAGACAGCAGACAAAGCCATGGTGGCAATTATTTTACATCCAAGTAGTATGCAGTTCTTCTTATATACACACACACATTAATTCCGGTATCGCTATCGGTTTGGTATCGGCCAGTACTGCAAAGCTAGGTATTGGTATCGGGGCCAAAAAATGACATCAACACTAGTTAGAACGACATAATATTGAGCTGTTAAGAAATATTAGGTGTTTTGCTTTGACCCTGAAGAAAAACACAGATTTTTACTTACAGTAAGACATTACCTAAAAACTAGCTGCTGGCCTTGTGCAGATTACATACTAAAAGAGCCACTTTGTCTTTGCTTTGAGCTGGAATTATTGTGCTATGCCTCACATCACCCCTCCCTGATCAGAGAAGGTCTGCCTTTTCTGTACTGGCAAATCCTGGATAGGGTAAATGCTCCCTTTTGCAGGTCCTCTTTCATTGAAAGCAGAACTCAGTAAAGTAAGTCAGACTTCATTATTTTTGGTTCTCGTTTGAGTTGTCTTCAAACGAGAACTAAACTTAAAAAAAAAAAAATGCTGTTGTCAAAGCCAGCTTTTCCCAGCTACGCCTTTTGACCAAGATTAAACCCTTTTTCTCACTTCAAGACCTGGAGAAGGCGACCTACGCATTTATCAGTTCATGGTTGGACTACTGCAACGCTCTCTAGTCTGGCCTCCCACAGTCGTCACTCCAACGGTTACAGTTAGTGCAGAATGCCACAGCTCGTCTCCTCATTGGTTCATCCAGACACGGACGCATCACTCCCATCCTCTCCTCTTTGCACTGGCTCCTGTTCTGTTTTCGGATTGATTTTAAAATGTTAATGCTTGTTTTTAAAGTCCTTCATTGTGGTGCTCCGTTATGTTTAACTGAGATGTTGCCCATACATCGCAGGTCCCGGTATAAACAGTGGGGCGATTGTTGCTTTGTGGTTTCTGCACCTAAACTGTGGTACAGCCTGCCCCCCCAGTCTGCGTGTTCTCTAAGTTCAGACTAAGACACATTTTTTTCAAACAGGCTTTTAATGCTTAGAGCACATGGATTGATGCTTCGGATTTTTGTTTTTACAATGTTTTTATCTTACTGTGAAGCACTTTGGTCTTCCCGATGTTATGCAAATAAACTATGATTGATTGAATAAACTGACGAGGGTTACTTAGAGATATAGGAATCAAACAAAGTGCCCCTTTGTGCAATATTTTATTCTCTTTTATATATCTATATTCTCTTTTATTACATTACCAGAATTATAACCTGCTAAAAACTACATTCGGAAGACATCTAAGAGCTTTTTCAACCTTAACATTGTCACAGCATGCAGGGGGAAGGCATGCATAGTTTCTGAACATCAAATCATAGAAGCAATGTTTAATGGGAGGGGTAAAATTATGAGGTTTTAGTAATTTAAACTGATACATTGTTTTTGTCCAAAACTATACAGAAACAACTTCTTGCATCATTCAGACAACAGAACTGGTTTTAAAGGTCTTTCATAAATTTTTTTGTATAAATGTAATGTTTTCAAATATGTTACCACAGCAGGAAGAAATTAAGATATCAAATTGATTTATCATCATTATTTAAGTCTTTTCCAGGTCTTTAGCTGGTAAATGGTTGGTTGAACATAACAGCTGGTTGCTTAATTAGTTTGTCTGTTTCCTGCAACATAAAACAGCCCACAGGACCTTTTAAAGCAAAAGCAAATCTGAAGGCACTAAGAAAGTGCAAATTCTAACTTTGTTTCAAGATGTTTCTTTCCCAGAAGAAGCAAACATTTTTGAGTTAGAAAAAACCATTGAGACAGTTCGGTATTTTGAGAAAAGAACAAATCAAATTTGAACATAAAATGCTTATGTATCATCATCACCATCATGTTTTCAGGCTTTTTTAGCAGCAGATATTTTAGCTGTTACAGCTGAAGTAGCAGAAAAGTTATGAGGGAGTCATTGAAGCCAGGCATCCACTCTATCAGTTCACTGCAGATTTAGACCACTTAGTTCCAAAGTGTGACTCTAGCTGCTCTTATGGCCTGCTTAATGGAGACTTCAGGAAACAATAAAAAAAAAAAATCATATTTTACTGCATTAAAATACCCTGTAGGATGATAAAAAGAAAATTATTCATGTTTCGTAAGTAGTGCAATGCATTCAGAACTAGACTTCTATATGTGGCTGGTATCTGGAATAGCTTTGTCTCCTTTGTCCATAATGTTAATAGCTTTGACCGGCACATTGACGTCTGAAACAGCAGTGTGTGCATTTCTGTGACCCGTCATCCATTTGCTTCTTATACGTCTGCTGCTCTGCATAAGCAGCGCGGATAAAGAAATTGACTTGTATTGGACAATGTTATCTCCACTACTTTTGCTATTAACTTACCTCAGTGAATGCATGCAGCATAGTTTCCTAAGCCCCCCTTCTTGTTTGTTTTATTAAGCACAAGGAGAAGCATCTTGTAACATTTCTGCTGAGTTTGAGCTCAACAGATTCATCCTTAAAATGCTTTCATTTCCTCCTCATGAATTTGGCTCAGACTAATTAAGAACAGGACTGACAAAAAACAGGTAAATATATTCAGCCTCAGGCACAGCAGACCGTGTTCATTCCCTGATAACTAAGACCTATGGGACGGCCCGGTTTTTGTCCTCTTGGGCCCTGCACTGCAAAACACAACATTCAGTTTAATTAAAAACTTCAAGTGAGGAGAACTCAATTCTCATCAGCTTGTTGTTTAAATACATGCTGTGAAAAAGGGACTGTTTGCTTGACATATTTAAAGTTAGTCAATGCTTAAAATCCGGCTACTTCCACTGCTAAACAGCTTAAAATCCATCCATACTCACTGACTTTTGAAAGGTCTTCTGTGCATGCAGGTCACCTCAGGGACACAATTTGAGACGTCATGTGAACAGCACTACAGAAAAAGCAGATTTGGCAAAAAATCAGAATTAAACATTGAGTGCTGCAGTTTGAATTTAGACTTAAAGGAATAGTACACCCAAAACATGATTAGCCTTCATTTTCTACTCACCCCCATGCTGAACAACACTCTGGAGTACTTTTTTGATATCTCAAATGCATCTGGAGATCTGGGAGGCTTCTTGCTGTCTGCTGACATTCAAATAATGGAGGTCTATGGCGCCCGAGGCAGAAAGGTCCATAAAAGTCCACAAAAAACGTGTCAATATTCCTCCATACTGCTCGTCCAATGTATTCCAAGTGTCCTGAGTGGGTAGCGTCCAGAATTTACTCGAAACAAAGTCATTTAGAATGTTTTTAGAGCATAAACAGTAGTGTATAGGATTTCCTGAAAGCGCGCACATGCA